TCAAGTGTATTGATTTTTCCAGTTTGATTGTACGTTAAAAATATTGATTTTGATTATGATTATTGGAATCATGTATCATAATTACAATTGTGATATTACATTTTTATATTTTTTTTCAAAAAGAAATTTGAATATTGGTCCTAACCAGAAATGTGAAGAATCTGATTTGTGGTAGCTTTAAATTGGGAAGCAAGTGGTTGTGTTTTAAAAAGAGAAAGGGGTTGAATTGCATGGCATGCATTGTGCATTTCTAATCTGTGTTTTGTAATGAATGTGAGAGGGACAAGACATTGAATCCAAAATAAGATATTAGAAATGCGTCAAGTAATCATAGAGTTCGATAATCTTATTTTTATATCATATGAATTAAATATTTTCAAAATAAAAAATATATAAAGTGTATTACAACAATACTCTAAAGTTAAAAAAAAATTAAAAACCAAGAAAGATGGGTTTTACAATTCTGCCATTTTATTTTAAAAAGACGAACCAGAAGTAATCATTTTAATCCTATAAGTAGCCATGATTGTGAATTGTGACTGGGTTTAGTGTTAGCCAATTTTAATTAAAAAATTAGTAAGTTGCAACTGCTGATACAATGGTCAAACCCTTTTTCGGCCTGATTGATTGGACCATATGCTTCATGTTTGTTAGGGTTTTAACCTTTAATTATGATATGGACGGCTTTACTTTAATACTACGTGTTATTCAAATTAATATTAAGTCGGTCCACCTCAATGTCTATTATTAGAAGGAAGAATAATTTTTTAAAATGAAATATAATTTGAATTGTAATATTTCGTGTAGATATAACGTTATTCAATTTATTATTATCATTATTATTAATTTTTTTTCAGTGTTCAAAATTTTATCTTAATTAATTTAGATCAACATGAGTAATTTTATTTATATATCATAAGATTACTATGAGAATGTTCTAAATAAGGTTACCATAATTAAGATATGAGCCGCTTTATTCTTATTTCATTGGATCTAATAAAAATGTTAAAATTAAATTGAATACCTATCAGCTAGCTTAATAACCATAAAATTAATCTTAAGAGAGAAAACTGAAAATATAATATTATAATTTATACAAGTCAAAATAAAAAATTTACACTATTTTATAAGAAAAAAGTAATACTTATTAAAAAGAGAAAAACAGATATTTAAATATACAAAATAATAGTATTTTTTCGTGATAAATTTGCAAGTTGACAATACTAACCACATTTGCCAGCTCATATAAATTTGTCTTTGTAGTAGCGATGCCGTGAGATAAATAGCCCCACGAGATTAAAAAGAAAAAAGAGGTTAAACGCACGTGTGTAAAAACAATAAAACATATTAAAACGACGACCTTTTCACTGTCTAGTCGGGTCAACTTTCTTTAAAACATATAACCGGTTTGTACGGCTGAGATCACTCCTGGGAACTGACAGTAAAATTTACGGTTCAGATCAAATTTCAGTCCTTACAAGTATCTACTGGTATCGTGAGTAACGAGATATTGGAGTTTGGTAAGCCGTATGTGTCGGCTCAGGACGAGAACATGAAGGGCTTCAATTAATGGTATTTTTTAAATAATTTAAATACATTAATATTCTAAATTTAAGTTAATTTTCTAATTTAAAATAATAAAAATATAAATAGTAAAAATGTATTTAATGATTTGAGATATTTTCTATATTTCTTATTGGAAACGGAGGACATTACTGAAATGGTTATTTGTTGTATAATTTTTTAAAGTAAAGTTTTGTTATATTGATCAAGTACTAGTATTTACTAATTGTTTAAATATAATATTTATATTTTTTATTGAATGATTAAAGTTAAAATTTATATATGTGTCATATTCATGTTATTTATTTTGTTGGATAAAATATATACAATTTTCATTTTTTATTGTTTTTCATTTAAATCTATTTTCTCATGTCTCCCATTTTAATATAATTACGAAAAAGTTATCGTTGTCTATTATGAAATCATCAATAAATAATAATTTTAACATATTCATTAGCACCTGAAATTTTTTATTATATATTATGTAACATATCTTAATTTTTTAAATATTTCCTACTATTAATATTTCCCTAAACTTGCACTAAATTTATTTACAAAATAATTGCAATAAACTAAATTAAACTAAATAAATTCAAATATGTTATTTTTTATTAATTTCGAAAAACGGTAATGTAATGAACAACTAATTTTTTTTTATTTTTTGAAAACATAACCATAATATATAATGTTTGAAAAATACAATAAATAATTTAAATACTAACGAAACATCTCTCATTGGTTGACAGCCTTTAATTAACTGTACTATGAAAAAACTAAAAAAAAATGACAGCATTGTAAAATTAAATAACAAAAGGTTAAAAACGCAAATTTGATGGTACAGTTTTACAGCTTTTTTATGAAGCACAGCTGGAATTAGCGGGACACAGCTGGCATTTTTTTTTGGGTGGGGGGGGGTAGGGTACGGAACAAATACGTAGCTACCGTCGCCGTTTTATTTAATTTTTATTCTTCTTTGGGGTCTTTGTCTAAGGGCACCCTTCCTTTTTTAAGGACCTCTCTCTCTTCTTTATTTACTTGGAATCAAAATCCAAGGCAAATTTTATTCACCCTTCTTGATGTTTATTGTTTTACCCTTTTCTTTGTACTTAATGACAATTGGGTCCTCTTAGATTTTATGTGGGATTTTGTCAGGCTTTTAAATGATTTGGGTGTTTTTGTATGGCATGTGGGAATTTCCCATCCTTATTTTACTTAAATGCCTTGTCCCTTTTTACTCGTTATAACCACAATTAAAATTAATTAGAAATAATATAAAAATATTATTATAATTAAATTAATCATTATTAAGGATAAAAGCGACATATGTTCCGATCTAATAAGTTTTAATTTGATTTTATCTTATAAAATTAATTTTTTTTAAATCACAAATTAAGTTCGAGTTTAAAGTAAAAATCTCTGACTAGACTTGATCTATAATATAATTATCCCTTTAGTATTTAAGGATAATTACAACAATACCATTTTATCTCATTTTTTTTCAATTAGTTTCATATTTTATTTTTATATACATATTTATGGTAGGCTGTGAGTTTTTAACCTAGATATCGGATCGAGTTTTTATTAAATATAATCTCTCTAAATCTAGATTAAGTGATAGAGGAATGAATAGAATACTTAAAGATTTACATGTAATATGACTTGAGATGTAATAAAATTCAGATTAGGAATTTACATATGATATCTATGCATAATAAGAATTAAAATAAATAAATTTTAAAAGCCTCGAGAGCGTAATTTAATGTAAAATTTGTAATTTAATTTTATTTTAGATTCGAAAGTAATTATAATATCATGAAATTACCATGAAATCTTAGGTTCTAATCAATGTTTGGTGGTTGATCCTAACTAACAATATTTGGGCAAAATGTAGTTTATGTATGTTTCCGACAAGTTGCTTTACAACACCATTGAAATTCAACTTGTTTGGCAAAGGGACAGATTGTCCATTGAAACTGGAACACTAGTTTTCTGTAAATTGTTTGTAATGCCACTTTAATAAAGCATTACTATAAGTAGTATGATCATTAACAGAGAAAAATTAGATCATAAACTGGAACAACTAAATTTGAACAAAAACTCTAATAAATATATTTAACTTGTTTTGATTCGACTCGGTTTTTTAATATGAGTAAATTCGTACTAATAGTTTAGATTTCAAATTCAAGTCAAATTTAAATAAAAAATCTTACTTATACATGTGAAAATAACGAAGAATATACGTGTATATCATATATAATTAGAATTAGTTATTTAATTTAGAATCAATTAGTACAATACAATTATAAATAATTACAAGTAAAATTTGAATAAAAACTCTAAAACAATATCTGATCCGACTACAAAAATTTAAAAGTTAAAACAATACTTGACAATTAGACAAATTTAAAATTTTTCATTAAATTCAACTCAACTCGACCATATACTCATTCTATATTTATAATTTATGATTTTATTCACATTAAATTTAAATATCATCTTGCCAAATACAAATTAAATAACCTCTTTTTGTTAGATATCTAATTTCACTTAATGTCTCTAAACAAAAAAAATCACTTAATATCTAAATTTAGTAGGGTCAAATTCTATTATCAGTTCTTATACTACGCGTAAACTATAAAATTAATATTTATTCTTTAAATTTATTATTTTTAACCTTTATTTTTAAAATTTCAAAATAATTTTTCATTGAAAAAATTAAAAATTGAATATAATTAAATTAAAGAACATGAAATAAATATACAACATGCACGTAACACATTGATTAATAATTCAAATTAACTTAATATATTTAATACCTACCATTTAGACCAAAGCTGAAATTTAAAAAATACAATATCTAAAAAGTTAAAAAAAAAATTAGCTAACCCTTATTCCCATATGTAATGGGGTAAGGGGAGGTAGTATAGTAGGTTACCCCAACACCAAGTTAGATAGTCTTAAAAATTACGAGTAAAATTATTAAAAAATAACTAAAAGATAGTAGTATTAGTTAATTTAATAAATTAATTATGATTAATTTTCCAATTAGTGATTCACATCTCCACTGAGAAAGATTTCTAAAACAAAAACATGTCCAAAATCTCTTAATCAGATCAATCAAACTTAAGCCAACCAATTTTTTTTTAAAGGCGGAAACGGCCACGTCATCATTTCCCCACCAAAACCGTAATTATCACCAACTTTAACGGCAAATTATATTAGCCAAAAAAACCAGACAAAAAGTCAAAATTCTTATTAACCTTATTAAAAAAACCAAAACCAAAATCTTTCATTAACGGTAAAATAATTACCCCTTACTTAACAAATCCGTCATTTCTGAAATTCCTCAAGCCCAAATCCGTCATTTTCTTTCCTATATAAGTACCCTTCGCTTTCCCAGTGTTACTCTAATTACAGACCCTTAAAAAAAAGGAAATTTAATTACCGATTCTGTTTAGAAAGCTCTCTCTTTTAAAAATTTCTTCTTGGCCCCAGGCAATCCATGTTCTTGAAAACAAAGGAATTCTTTTGTATTTCTTGGGGAAAAAATTAATTACCGATTCTTTCTGGAAAAAAAAGAAAACGCTTGGAAAGTTGTGAATTTAAGCCATCAAAAGAACATCTTCAAAGATTTTGATTTTACGGCTTTTTAGTGGAAGAAAATCGATCAGCAAAGAGATGGAAGAAGGACCCAGATGTTAAGCGGCGGCGTTTCGATGGTTTGCTCGATCAAAGCTAAAGAAAGCATGGTTTTTCGATGGAGCAAAGATGATAGGGTGGATGTTTTAATGGATATATAGAAAGGGAGGTAGTTATATATTGTTTTTAGCGTTGTTATTTGATGGGAAAGGTGGTATTAGGGGTGGCAGTAGGGGTGGCGGTGGCCGCGTGTGCGGTGGCGGCGTTGGTGGTTGGAAGGAGAGTAAGGAGTAGGAAGAAATGGAAGAGAGTGGTTGGGGTTTTGAAAGAGTTGGAAGAAAGTTGTGAGACCACAGTCGGGAGATTAAGGCAAGTAGTGGATGCTATGGCTGTTGAGATGCATGCTGGTTTAGCTTCTGAAGGAGGATCCAAACTCAAAATGCTGCTCACTTTTGTTGATGATCTACCATCTGGGTAATCAAGACTCAACCTTTTCTTTCTTTGCTGCTTTCTTTTTTGGTTTTTGGGTAGATTAGATTTTGTAGATTTGTGTGGATATTAAAGATGGGTTCTTTTCTGTCTGGCTATTGGTACATTGTTGAGATTGTATATGCTGGTTGGCCTGTACCAAGTTTTTGATAATTGCTTTTGCCTGATTTAATAATGGGGTTTGTTGAGATTGTCGAAATTTCCACTCAAAATGTTTGTTGAATTTATGGTTTGCCTGTTGCATTATCTCATGCCAATTTTTTTTTCTTCCTCAAATTTAAGACACTGTTTCATGATAGTTGGTGATGTTTCCTTCATTTGTTGTTTATTGTATGATATATCAGTTTTTGTCTTATTCCAACTTGCCCACTGTGAGTTGTTTTTGTTCTTTGCCATGGTAATGAAATTTGTAAGTTACATCTTTTTTTTCTTTTCTATTTGATGTTTGCTTGCTCCTTTTGCTTTTCTTTGCCCTGTTTCCGGTTCGTGTGTGTATGAACGATACGTGATTACTACTTGAAGTTTAATACCATTGAGATAGTGTTATATGTAGTTTTCACCTTTTTCATTCAACATTCCATTGCTTTGAATAGGGAATCTAATTCTGTACCTAAACTTAATTCGGGTAGTTTATAGGATTTAGTGGTTTCTGCTTTGGTTACCTATTCTTGGCATATAGATGTGTAACGACTATTTGAGGTACTATCATGTTTAAACTAAGTTAGCGGATGGAATCTATTGATTAATATGTCAAATGTGGTCTGATGTTAATGAATGATAATAGATGAAGGAACTAGAACTAGCCTTTTATTTGAAATTTCTGATTCGTTGTGGAATTTTGGGTGCTGATTTATGATTTGCGTTTAGCGGCCTTTATATGAATGATGTTTGCAATGTGGTTACTTTCATATAGATTTACAGGTTAGGCTTGAGAATGGTTTTATTGTCCGTTCACGTATCGATTTTATATATACTTATCTTATTTATCTTGCATAAGTCATGTTAGTAAAAGAAGTACCTTTTTTCCGTCAGGAGTGAGAAAGGGATTTTTTATGCTCTAGATCTTGGAGGTACTAATTTTAGGGTCTTACGGGTTGAACTAGGAGGCCAAAGATCTGATTTGGATCCGGATGTGGTGCAACAGCCCATTCCCGAGCAGTTGATGACTGGCAAAAGTGAGGTAACTGAAGGTTTCTGCTCGCCAATCCTTGGCAAACGTATTGAATCTTATCATCTGCCGATACAAGATGAACTTAGTAACATGCTTCGCTTTCATGCAGGATCTTTTCGATTTTATAGCTTCGTCATTGTATCAGTTTGTCGAAAAGGGAAATGATTCAGTGCAATCTCTGGTTACAAAAGAACTCGGATTTACTTTTTCTTTTCCAGTAAAACAGACATCTGTTTCGTCAGGGGTTTTAATCAAATGGACAAAGGCATTTGCAATCAAAGACATGGTTAGTGCTGTTTTTTTCTATTACGACACTTGTACCTGAGTTCTAGTAACTAGGTTGGAAGTTATGTATGAATTTAAGGCCAGGGTTTTGTTTCATATAAATTTGTGGCATAATTGGTTGTAGGTGGGAAAAGAGGTTGCTGGAGCTTTACAACAAGCACTGGACAGGAAAGGTTTAAATATGCGAGTTGCTGTGCTGGTGAGCGCTAATTCTTCATTGTAGGGTTAATTTGTATGATACTAAATGATATTTCTAGTGTCTTTTTCTTACTGTACACATGCTGTATTATACTAAGGAATTGATAAAAGAAAGAAACATCATTTGACCATTAATTTTAGTTCTCAGTCGTATAATTTGTTCAATATCTATAGCATGTGATGGCTCATGAGACATGTATGTATATATATATATATATCTTTGAACTTAGTTACATGTTTGAATAAATTTCATGGATTTCTTAAGCAGGTGAATGACACTGTTGGAACATTAGCTCTTGGACATTATCATGATGCGGACACTGTTGCTGCAGTGATAATTGGAACAGGCACAAATGCCTGCTATTGGGAGAGGACCGATGCCATCATTAAGTGCCAAGGGCTGCTTACGACTTCTGGAGGCTTGGTATCCTTTCTGTCGTCTTTGGCTTCGTTTTACTTCATCTGCTGAAGTAGTCGTTTGCATATATCATCATTTACATTATTTTATTTTTCTCATCTCTAGGTTGTCAATATGGAATGGGGAAATTTTTGGTCATCTCATCTGCCAAGAACTTCATATGATATCAAATTAGATGCCGAGAGTCCAAATCCGAATGATCAGGTAGGAACTGGTCGAATTATATTATTTTTCTTGACTGATAATAATGAAGGGTCGGATCTAATTTCTTAAAATCTTCTCCAGGGTTTTGAGAAAATGATATCAGGCATGTATCTCGGTGACATTGTGCGGAGAGTGATTCTAAGAATGTCAGAACAGTCGGATATTTTTGGACCAGTTTCTTCCAGTTTATACTTGCCCTTTGCCTTAAGGTATGCTTCTTTGTTCCCCTTTCCGGGTTTCCATTACTTGTGTTTCTTGTCATGGGATCTGCTTCCAAATATCCTACTCATTTACTAAATTTAACAATTTCCACATCAAATATCAGGATGCCTGCGATGGCTGCAATGCACGGGGATGACTCCCCTGAATTGATGGAAGTGGCGAGAATCTTAAATGATGTTCTTGATGTAACTCACTCACTCGGTGTTCATTTTTTCGGCCACACAACCATAGTTCGTTGTTAGGATGACATTTTATCTTTTGCAGATTCCAGATGTTCCCTTGAAGGCTAGGAAGCTTGTTGTGAAGATATGTGATGTGGTAACCCGCAGGGCTGCTCGATTGGCAGCTGCAGGCATTGTCGGGATCTTGAAAAAGATTGGTCGGGATGGAAGCGGTGGCATCACGGGTGGAAGAAGTAGAAGTGATATCAAGATGAGAAGAACCGTGGTGGCGGTGGAGGGGAGTTTATACACACAATGCACGATGTTTAGGGAGTACTTGCACGAAGCCTTGCACGAAATACTGGGGGAGGATATTGCGCGACATGTTGTGATTAACGTTACGGAAGATGGGTCAGGGACTGGAGCGGCTCTCCTTGCTGCCTCGCATTCATCATCGGGAAGTGTGGATAACATACAGCCGGTATAAATATATGTTTACCTAATATACATATATGATATAGCCCCTGTAAATGTAGAATTCAATTTCCTTATAAATTTTTAAAAAAGAAGGGTTCGTCTTTCTTTGTATCCCTAAGGCTCTTTCTTTCTTTTCTTTTTATTTAAAAAATCAAGGTTATTGTATATTGATGCTTGGCAATTTGAAAAGGCTTAATTGAAAAGTGCCCAAATTGTATATTTTTTTTAGGTCTGTTAAAAAATTCGCCATTTTGAGATTTTAGGGGGTTTCAAATTAAAATAAATAATTTGACCAAATTTATGTTTAATATATTAATGACATCAATGAATTAGATTATCATTTCATTAAAATTAAATTTATCCATATTTTGGAAAAAAAATTAATCAGATGATATCACAACACATAAAATTGTCATCATTAATAGGTACTTTCAGGTTACTCGACTACTTAGCCTGCCGTATTGGTACATTTCATGGTCACATCTTGACATCGAATAGGTAGTTTTCATCCCTAAAGTATCGAAAATGTGCATCTACTTCCGACGAAATAAATTAAACTACGGTGACCGATCATGAACACATAGTTCAGCAGAATTTTCTCACTTCTCTTTACTTTACAGAAAAAATTGAAGGGTGAAAGGGGGGTGGTACCGATTGATGTCGAAAATGGATTAAGTCACAGCAAATCATCATGCAGGTTACAACTCGTTGCTCAGCCGGCGGAGGCCGGAATGAAAAGCTTTCCGGAAAAGAGGATGGTCATCTTCAGTGAACACCTCCAAGTCCAACTTTTCAATGTGAGGCCATATCTGTCAAAAATCCAGTTTGCAGCACAATTGAGTGACCACGTGGGGTTTGGTTCAAGGAAATGCAATTAGACAGAGAATGCTTGAGGCAACAAGCAACACGATGAGCAAAACTCAATTAAATCCTAGGTTAACTGAAACCGGCATAATTTGGGTTTCATGGAGTATTGATAATATATATATTATTTCAATATTTTTGGAATTAATACAGGCGAGATCCAATCCATTTATACTTATTATTTTACCCATACTAACTTGCAAAGCACCCAACACCACAGCCTAGGTAAATTTCAGATCGACTCTTGTTCCATCCAGGCAATTGAAAAGGCACACACACATATTTTGTCGATTAAACGAGATTTTAAATCGGCTAATGTTCAGAAATGTACTGCAGCAGCTATAGAACAAAATTTGGTGACGATGAAGTGAGAAAAATACCACAGTTGAAACCAATGAACACCTGTAGTTGGGATAAAAAAAGGGAGTTCCGGTAGTAGTCTTGAAGATCTTCTTGACATCCTCGAGAAGGGTTCGGTTCATGGCCCGAATAACAGGTTCCGCGATGTTAATGGACCCGGAACAAAGAGATGGTTCTTCCCTGGTCCGTACACATAGTCCATCTTGTTCGTATCGGGGAAATGACGCTGGTAACTTGAACTACCTCCCTACTTGTTACAAGGAAACTTGTAAATAATGAAATTAAATAATAATAATAATAAAGCATTTGACATTTTCTAATCCCTATATATATATATAATTACTCAATTTCGATTTATTCATAACTCAACTACCATAAATGTATATAATTAAAAAATATATAACAATTGAATTATCTAAATAAATAAATAAATAATATAAGTTATGGATATATGTTGAACTAATCTAATTTTACATTAAACTACACCGACAGTTTTTTTAATTTTACAGACATTTGTATTTTGATTGCCGATTTTTTAAAATTTAAATTTAAATCATTAAAATTTTATTTCTTAATATTTATTTTGGTTTATGTATCATAAACAAATTCTTAATTTGACCTTTAAGATGGAGAAAAGAAAAATAACAACGATGATGATATGTATTATATTTAAGATACTCACAAAACATCCAATACGATGGAACTCGTATAGATGGATATCAATGTGTTTCGATATATTAAAAACAACTAAAAATCAGGGGAAAAATGTGGTTTTTAGAGAATCTTCTTTATAATGAAGAATAGAGTTTTGTAAAGAGGAAGGGCAACGGACGTTAATGGTGAGTCAGTGGCAGTGGCTCAAGACATTAGCAGATAAGAGAAAAAAACCAAATCGGCTATCAACCACTCACTGCATTAACTTCCTCTCCTTCCAATATTACTAATGATATTCGTATGGATATACATATGTTTTGATATATCGTTTTCAAATTCTAATTAACAATCTTTAAAAAGAAACAAAAAGATGACATGTCGATTAACAATGTTTTTTTAACGATCATTACGATGTAAACACTTAAAAAAAACGTCGAAAACGTTAAACACTTAACAAGTGATATAGTTTGAAAATTTATTTTTTCATTAAACCTATTATTTTTCGTATTCCTATAATTTTATAGGACCATGTTGTCCAGATATAATCTTAAAAATATATAGAGAATACCATATATTCTTGCCAAGTTGGTGCTTTGTCAAACATTCATATTTATATAATATTTCATCATTATAAAAATATTCCGTTTAGTGTATCAAAAACAAACTCCAGACATCATTAGAAAAACTCTTTATGTTAGTAACTTAGTATATTAAATACAAACACGAAGCTAAATTCCATCGATAATGTATCAAAAATACGAACTCCATGCTGAGCTTCAATACTATCTTGAATGGTGAAACTTGGTAATTTACCTGACGCAAATTTATGCTTATATTATTATTGCTAACAAAATTTGCATCCTTTTGAAACCAAAAATACATACCTAATAATGTACACTTCTTCTGCCATGGCAAACATATCTCATCCATGTATTTTCCAAATTGAATCGAGATTTTTGTTTCTTTTTCAGCTATTCCTGTGCTATATACGTAAACAAAAATACTGGACTGACTTCGAAAAACATAAACGTCGGGAACAAATGGTTGCAAAGTCACTGCACGCACTTCCCTGCTCGTGTTGTTCGATCTCTTGTGTTCTTCCTCGGCCACCTTTTTTACATCGATGCAACTCCCACCTAGCAGATAGCCTCTTTGATCCAGCGATAAACAGTCAGATTCAAATAACAGCTTATTATTCCCATGGTGAAAAAAGAATCACAGGGAATACTCGATGGCTGAAGCAGTCAATAGCACACTCGGTCGAACCAAATCAGCAAAACTCGTTCTATCGACTATCATCCAGCACAGCACTAAAGGGCTTAGCCTGAGGGAAAACCTTGCCTTTGTGGAAATCCAGTTTGACGCATCTGATATGGTCGTTCAGTATTAACAAGGCGTTTATCGGATGGTCCTGCCCCAAGAATCCCCAACGAGTTTGGATCTACTACACGAGTACCATTGTTGAGAGGTCTTTGACTTGGGGGCTGAATTTGGGGATGACTACCCTTTTCTGCTCTCCCTTGTTTCCAAGCTTCAAACTTTGCGGCATCAATGCCTTTGTGAATTGGTTGTGACGTTTGTTGTGCCATTGCATTCTTCTTGTACCCTCGTTTCTTCTCAACAGAACGTGAAAAAGGAGGGAAGGAATTAGGATCACCATCTCTCTCAACATGACCACGCATGGAACCATTGATATGGGACGGTCCAACACCTCCATCCTCGTCCTGCTCCTGCTTAAGCTTCGAATAAATCTGCTGAAGCCTCTCACCAGAAAGATTTGAAAATGTAGAGACGTAGTTCCATAAACGCAGAGTCATCCCTGCAATGAGGATTGACATTAAATAAAATAATTTATCCTATTTTAAGTTTCTAAACTGTGAATATGTACATCAGAAATACAAAATACATAGGTTCGAAAGGAGATTAGTAAACTAAAACTTAATCTTGCGGTATGAAAAAAACCACATACTATCTTGTCTATAGAGCTGATCTTCATGTTCCAAGACAATTTGATCAATCCTCCTTCCAAGAAGCTGCAAATAATTCCGAATTTTTGAAAGCACCTGGAAGAAAAGAGAAAAACCTTATGGACACAATCACAAAGAAAGAAAAACAAATACAAAGAAATGTAAAGGGACTGGGAACAGAAATAGCTAAACCTTATCCTTGGGAAGATCTGCACTGGTAGTTTGCAATCTTTGGAGACGACGGAGGGTTTTTATTTCATCAATCATAACATCTTCACACCACTCCATCCACTTCACTTCCTTAAACTGCTCATATACTTCCTCGTTGTCCGACATTTCACCTTCCTCTTTAACTAAAAGTTCAACTTTCTGAGGCCTCTCAGATCTGTCCCTACCCATTTTAAAACTGACCTTAGTAGAACCCGGTTTTCCCTTCTTGTCTCTGACATGTGATATTGATATATTCAGAGGATTCTGCTTTTCCTTCTTTGAAGCCTTGCGCCCATATTTGACACCAGGATTCTTACCACCAACAGCTGCAAGTTCCTGTGAAGAAAGGTTCCAATATAAGGCCTGGCTCATGCACGATGCTTAAAAGCATAAGCATGCAAAAAACACAGATGCATATGCAATAAAACCATCAAAGAAATTTCAACCAGATACATTAACAAAAAAATTCCAAAACTTTGCAGTCATTAATTCACTAACAACACAAACCAATTACGGAATTTTCCAACAGAACCAAAATGAAACAAATCCACTAAGTCTAATTTAAAATAAAATATTCCTTTAAAGAGATGGGAAAAAGATGAATTCATTTTTTATTAAAACAATAAAATTATTCTGCATATCATAGTAATTGCAAGTATGGGCTGTACCATTTCCATGAGTGCATTAGCACGCTCCTTCAAATTAGGGGCACGTGGCAGAAAGGTTTCATGGTGCTGAAGTTCCGCAGGAGCAATCTTCTTTGTGAGGCCAAGTCTTTCATCTAACCTTATCTTTTCCCAATTCCCAAATCCATGGTAGTGTATTCCCAGAAGCAATCTTGCATCATCAACTAGAGACATTAACAGGAGAAAATATCATAAGTCCATAACAATTTTCCTTTAGTTACCCTCCAAGAACATAGAATATAAATGGAATAGACATACTCTGACTCCACCCACACCCTTTAGACCAATTAGAGGGTTTAAGGTACATCAACACGCGGAACTGTTTTATGGGGTCCTCATATCGACTTATTCGCTTTGCTAAGAGCTGAAGTTCTCGGACACGATTGAACAGATCATTTGCCTTGACAGGAACACCAAAGAAGTC